GCGTTGCATCTATCTACCCCACGTCGCGGCCGGCCTCGAGGCCAGCTGCGTGCCAGCCTCCCTCATCAAGGAAACCCCGCCGCCTGTGCCCCCCCCCCTGCCGCTCACTTCTCCTCCCACTCTGACTCATCGTCCCAGTCGCAGTAGGACCCGCAGTGCTGGCACTCAGCCTCCCCCTGACTGGCCAGCGCCCGCCGCGGCCCCACCATCTCGCTCAGCCGGAAGCTTCCCACGCCGCTGCGGTGAAGCCGGGGGGTCAGGCGGCCGGGGTTTCAGGGAGCAGGGCTCCGGCTGCGAGCGCTCGCGCTGGGGGTGGATCGGGCAAGCTGCTTGTGTTATCTGCGCACCGCTCGGGCGGCGGAGCATGCATGGGCCCGTCCGCGCCGCCGCCGCCGCCGCCGCACCTGCCGCGCACGCCGCCTTTGAGCTTGTAGCCGTTGCACTTTGGGCAGATCATGCTGCCCGATCCGCTGCAGCAGGGGCACTTGTGCAGGAAGAGGGTCGGGTAGGTGCGCCCAAAGTGGTCCACAAACGTCATGCCCTCCGCAAGCTGGGGGGCGGCGCACGGGCGGGGGGCGCGGGCGCGAGTGTGGGGTGCCGGTCGGCGAAAGAATGGGTCGTCGGGAAGGCGTTTTGCGGCTGCTCCACACCCAATATACGCAAGCTGCAGCTTGGAATACGTGCAGTGCAGTAACTGGACATGTTTGCTATGAATGACGAGCCGCCCGCCGCCGGCGAGCAGCAGCCATGCTGCCCCGCTCCGCTACCGCCTGAGCTGATGGCTGCGGTATAGGACTATTTGGTAAACCAGCATCGCCAAGTTGGAACCGCGGGAAAATGGTGGCTTGGCATTGACGCCAAGCCGCGCACTCGCAGTGCCTGCTCGCCGCTGCGCCGCCGCCGCACTCACCCAGATGACCTTCTGGACCCACCAAATGAGCTCTCTGTCGGGCAGCGCCCGCATGAGCTCAATATAAGGGTCGCCATCGTAGTGTCTGCTGGCAAATTGCCCCATCCTGGGCCGGGTGGGCCGAGCTGATCTGGACGCCGCGGCTGCTACCACTGACTCAAGTCATTCGCTGGTCGGATCCACATGTTCAATCAGAAATGGTCACTCAGGCTGTGATTGGCTTGTGATGAGACCTGGTGCTGATGACCAGTTGCGCAGCTTCTGAAGCAGTCAGTGGGCTTTGTGTTTTGGTTTCAGTCGCACGATTTGCCTTTGATAACAGTGCAGACCAGCCACGATACTCAGCTACAGCTCCATACATTTGGGTACAGTAGGCCAGGGTGTGGGGGTGCGTCGGGGGTTCCCCAACTTGTGCTGTTTGGTGCCATCCGTATGGCGCAGATATGTGTTTGTGTGTGCATTATGCACAACTGGATTGGCCGGAGCCCGCATGCAGCATACGCCGGCAGGGCTGCTGCTTCTGTGCGGCTGGACTGCCGCCGCTGCTGCTGCTGCTGCTGCTGCTGCTGCTGCTGCTGCTGCACTGCGTCTGAGGGCTGCTGTCATTGCGTCCCTCAAGCAGGCGGGATTCGGCAGGACAACTGCCGCCCCGCTCCCTTCAATGGCGCGAGGGGCCAGATGCAGCGCAAACACCAGAAAACCAGATGGGGACAACAGCCAGGCAGCTCGGTCAAATGCACGCCTTGCTTATGTGCCTCGCCAGCGTCGGCCCTGAGCCGCACCTCAGCTCAACTCATCCTCCAGGGGGGAGGCGCATGCAGGTGCCGCGCCAGCCTGCAATGGGCATGTGAGACATTCTGGAGTCCATTGCGCTGTTGTCAGCTGCGACAAACAGCTGCCCAACTGGGCCCTCGGACTTCCCCCTGTGGCGGCTGGGGTGCCTGCGTCTGTTTAAAGGGGTGCGTGGCCTGAAGGTGAGGACGCTGCCTGGGCTCTTGTCGTGGGTTTGCTCCCTAGCAGCCCCCTGCAAGCAGCGCTTCTCGCTTCTCTGTCCCGTATGCGGCCCCATCTTCTCACAGTGCCCAGATCCCTCGATCTAGGGCAGTGGCGTGGGCAACAACCCCCTTTGCATTGTATACACGTCACGCTGACACGTCGCACTGACAGCTGGCTGGTTCAGAGGAATCGAGGCGAGCAGCAGGTAGCGCGTCGGCCTGCGAGCTAGCAGTTGCCATGCAGTTTTTGTTTCAGATGCTCGGTGCCTACCCCGAGCTTCGTCGCGCCAAGAGCTGTGCATGTTACACCAAGCGGCTCACACACACGATGCCTGCGCCGCCGCCGCTCACGCAAAACGCCGCAGGGACCCTGGGCAGCGGTGGGCCCGCGTGCCGCGGGGGTGTCAACTCATCTCAAAACGGGGGAGAGGGGGGAAAAGGCGGGGAACTGCTGCCACTCTCGGCGCCGACGCTCAGAGCTTGCCGCGGACGGAGCCGCCCTTGCCTGCGGGGTTGGTGCGGACGGGTGCGGCGTCGCGTTGCGTCAGGCGAGAGGGCACACCAACACATGGCGGTCGTAGCGGCCGTATGGGCAGGCCGGGGCCGCTGCATGGAGGGAACGAGGGTGACCATGCGGGGGACGCGCGCTGCTGCTATCTTGCTGCCGTGCTATGCGGGTTCCGGAGCCGCGGCCCCTGCTTCAGCCCCCTGTCTTGGACTCTCACCGTTCTCGCCGCTGGTCTGGGGGCCCTGCGGGCAGAACACAAGATTTGAGGCGGGCGGGGACACAAACGGGGGGGAGGAGGGAGGGTTATGAGCCGTCGGCGCCGATGCTGCTGCAGACCACGCGCACGGGTTCCGCCTGGGGGACTGCGCGTCCCCGCTGTGGTGCGGCGCGCAATCGTGGGGCGGCAGCCCCGCGCCTGCCCGATTGCGGTGCGGCCAGCAAAGGCACCCAGCGATAGCCCCACAACCTCGTGCAAGCCGCATCCCACCGCGAGACTGTTTGCCTGCAGCCCGCGTCCTCGCACATAACCGCGCGGCGCCCGCGCCGTTTGCCCGCACGTGACTGTACATCCACCCGCGCCAACCCACCCGCACCTCCCACATGCAATCTCTCTCTCTCTCACACACACATACACACACACGCGCGCGTGCAATCACGCGCGCGCACCTTGGTGATGGGCAGCTGGGCGTCCTTGGCGCCCTTGAGGCCGAACAGGCTGATGGCGGCGCCGCCGCTGCCGGCCAGCAGCAGCAGGATCGCGTCGCGGCGCGCGATGAGGTCGGCCGCGCG